ACTCGACATTAATTTTAAAATGATATTTCTTCGTACTAGTATAAAATATTTATTGCCCCATATCAAAAAATAAGAAAAATTTTTTTGTTTAATACGGATACGTCCCCATGCAACACAATTACTTTTAAGATAAGTTAAAACATGTCGTGTATAGTCTTAAAAATTATTCTAAAACATGATCTTATAAAACTTTTAATTTTGATTGCGTTGAAAAAGTTTTAAGAAAACTTGCAAATATTTTTGGAATCGCTCAAAATTATTTCAAAATGCAATCTTTTTAATGTTTCATATTTGATAAAATAAAATTTGTTCTTCATTAAATATATTTCTAGGATATATCAAAAATGTTTCTGAAACGTAATCTTGTAAAAAAATTATTTTTTATTAAAAATTATCATGTAATAAGTCTAAAATATTTTTTCAAAAATACATCTAGGATAATTTAACAATATTTCGTGAAGAAATATTTTCCTCATGATAACATTAAAGTATCTGAAGCTGGTATATCTGAAAAAATTTTGTGTGACACTTCAAAAACAATTAATAAGATATATTAATTAAAAATTAATAAGGTTAATTTTGAAATATTTGCACGATAAACTATTTTGCGAATTTGCGCATATTAAAGCATATAATTGGGGGCAGACATTTCTACGTTTTAAGGATTAAAAGGAAATATTCCTGTGGATTTTTTTAAAATCTTTTTTAAAATTTAAACTCATTACTTGCCTAAAGCGTACTTTCAATGTTGTGTGTAAGATAACCAAAAAGAAATTAATGGAAACTAAAAATCAGAAAAACTGCCGGCTAATCGATCAAGGACGTTTTAAAATGTATACACATTATGAAAACGTAAATAACTTTTATGAATAAATTTTTGAAATTTTTTAAAATAACTCATTTGGTCATACGTGACAATTTAAAAATTATTAAACTAAGACTTCTCAATTATTTTGTCAGCTATTTTTCTCTTATAATTTAGTGTACAATAAAACACAAAACCTATTTTTAAAGAAGTTTATCAATCCGTTTTTTTTTTTCAAAATAAATCGATTTATGCAAGATTATAATACGGCCAAGCAAAATAGCAGGAAAAAGACTTTGAGTAGATAACTTGACTGTATAAAATTCTGGATTTAACTTCGGTATGAAATACCGTCACCTTGGATGCATTAACCATAAAATCGATTTCACCATGAAATTGATTGCTACCGTAAAGTATTGTACAGTAATTGTTATAGTAATATTTATATAATTAAAGTGATTCTGTTATTTTACAGTAATTATTTCTATAAATATTATAGTATATCCAATTTTTTGTTCCATAACATGTTCTGGTAAAAATGGATTTTACGGCAAAAAGTACGGGCACTTTTAATAGCTGCACTTTTTACAGTTATTTGATTCGGGATTTTTTACTGTGTAATTTTTATGAACTCTAATACGGTATAATTTATTTAAATGATGTTAAATTAGATAAGTATGCTTGATTATTTTCTGCTATAATATGAAACAGACAAAAATTTATTATACTGATATAACTAAACGCATCTACGGTACAATACTGTAAAGGAATCAAAATATCATTTCGAAAGAGATTAATACGATTTCAGACTTATTGTGACGCATGGCTTAGTTTTTATTTAACTGAAAGCATCAATATATTATGCAATATTTGTAGCTGCAACTCTCCAAATACTGATCTGTCATAAGCTTTTTCTTTCTATTTTCTGTCCATCGAACAAATTAGTTCCCTTAGTACTTTATAAGTTTGGTCTTTTCGGAACGCTAATCAAACAAATTCATAAATTTTTGTATAGGCAACAGCCAGTGCTGCCAGATTAGAAGTTTTCCCCCTAAATTTAGGGGGATTTTTTTTATCTTCAGTGGGTATTTTAGGGGAATTTGTTTTTAGTGGTTTGTTTTAGAGTTATTTTCGAATTTTACTAGTTTTATATTGGTTACGTTCTGATATCAAATTTTATAACTGAATGTGTGAGATGGTAATATGAAAATCAATTCAAACATATTTCGACTCTTGTTTTAGTATTAAGTATTATTAAGTATTAAGTACTTATTAAGTATTCCGTTTTCAAATGCAGCTGTAGAGAGATGTTTCTCCATATTAAATATTACTAAAGACAAATTGAGAAATAAAATGTCTATAACTACAGTTGATGCTATTTTGCGCTTCTTCTATGTTAACAGCGAAAACATATACAAATCAGAAAGTATTGACGAAAATATGTTGGATATTTTATCAGAAATTTAAGCATAATGCTAGAATTAAAATATAAAAAATACTACATCGTTGATAATTAAATATTTATGAAAAAATGTGCCAGTCAAAAAGTATTGAAAAAAATATCTTAAATATTTCAGTAGAAATTAAAGATATTGTAACGATTGAAATGTTAAAAAGATTAATTTGTTGATAATAAAATATTGAAAAGTATTAAAGCAACGTTTTCCATACATTATTTAAATTTTGTGCTATTTTTATTTTAATTTCTATTACTTGGGTTTTTTTTTTAATTTTTATAAAATTATTGGTTGAAAGTTGAACCATAAGAAAATTAAACCATAATTATTGAACCAAAATATCTTGAGAAATAATATGGAGAGAATTTGGTGAAACTTTATTAGGGAATTAACTAGAACCAATTTTTTGTGAAAGTTGAACCATAACGTCATGTAATAAAGCTACTGATAATTCAATTTGACCAGCATATGTTTCAACATTGAACCGCGTTAAAGTTGCAGCAAAAATATCTGACGTTTTAATCCATTGGGCTTCAAAAATGTTAACAGTGAACATTATACGAGATGCATTGACAAACTGGAGATTATATGATAAGTAGTATAATATATGTAATACTTAATATGTCAATTTATTAATCTTATTACTAGTATCATATATTTTATTGAAGTTGTGCAGAAATAACAAACTTAAGAATAAAAATGTTCTCAATTACATAGCTAAATTTCGAGAAAACATCGACATAATTTAAATACTTTTTTTCAAAATTAAGGAGGATAATGTTAGGTTATAAATATATAATTAATCATTATTTTCTGATCTATTTTCTTTTTTTAAATCATATGTGAGCTGAACTGAAACAGGAATATAAATAAAATAAAGTTTAAAAAAGTGGGATTAACTAAAATTAATTTCTTAGTGCAAATTTTTAAGTTAAATGTGTAAACAAGCTAATGAATGTATGTAACACTATTTATTGGCGTATTTATTTCATTCACTTGTACGGATTTTTATAGTCCTTTTAGAAACAAATTTCTGAGATAAATAAACATATAAGTTAATGATTGGATGTGACATTCTTCATTGCTGTCTTTATTTCATTCACTTAATCATTTTATGTACATGCTTTTGAGTTAAATAGACGTATAATATAATTAATGAATGTGACACTATTTATTGCTGTATTTATTTTATTCACTAATAAGGATTTTTATAGTCTTATCAGGTGCAGATTTCTGAGTCCATTACACAGATTAAAAAATGAATAAGTAAGGCACTATTTACCTTCGCATTTGCTTCATTCATTTATCAATTTCAATAGTTACATATCTGAATTACATTTAATTATTTACAATACAACTTGCGCGCAAATAGTAACTTTAAATGAAAAATTAGTGAATGTTACACTATTTTTTTCTCTATTTATTTCATTTACTGAAAAAATTTTGTCAATCATTTTAGGTGCAAATTTCTGAGTCCATTACAAAAATAAGAGAGTGAATAAATAAGGCACTTTTTATCTCTGAATTTATTTCGTTTATTTATAAATTTTAATAGTTATGTATCTGAATTATGTTTTTATTTATAATACAACTTGCGTGCGCAAATAAAAACTTTCGCAATTTTTACAACGTGCAATATACGTGACAAAGTTCACTTTTACAGATTTCTCAGTAGGGTTAGGTCGTTATTGCGTTATATATTACCACACTTTGTAATTAGTTATATCCATTATACGACTTCCTTTTATCGATCTTTAGTGATAGATGGATCATTTGGTATTAAGGAAAAGAAAAGAATTTCATTTCACTTATGGAAGATAATTCTAGAAAGTTAATTGACTAATCTATAACGCTCGCAAAAATAAACGATTATTAAAATAGTATTGTTTTTAGACTAACAATTTAATCAATATAATGTTTTTCAATTATAGTAGTTAAAAATATTTATTATTTATGTTTTAATGAGTTGAGATTAAAAATGTGATCACTGTAACAGTTTTTATAAATACTAACCAATATGGTGTTTGCGTTTGAATGTTAATATAAGGTAAGTCTAGCATAGCTTGTTCAAATCGAAATAAAATTACCAAGATTAGAGATACACGAGCTGTTTATGCATATTTTTAATTCTCATACTTTTATGTATCATATTTTGAGCAAAATAGTTACGGAATATTGAGATCAAAATACTAAAAAATTGTTTAAAATTAAACTAATTGTTTAAAATTAAACTGGCCATCTCTCCTCTCTGTCGAGGTGAGATGGTCATCTAATAAAATAAAGGAAAAATGAAATTAAAATATGGAAAATGACCCATTTTATACAGTTGACCATGAAAACTTAGATTAAGCTGCAAGAAATTAATTTTGTTTAGGAAAATAACTGAAAAGAATCGTGGGTTTGATCCCCGTCCGCCGAAGACTCCTTGTGTAGTAAATGATGACTGATGCATGTTAAATCTTTCGGAGTCACAAAGTCCTCCAAGTTCCCCTCTGGGAGGGTACTGATCCAGAAGCTCTCTTGTATTCTGGATTTGGAGCAGAATTTCAAGGATACGGAATTAAACTTTGGTAGTCGTAAAGCCAGAATTGGCTCGGCTGTTCAACAACGGTTATGTAAATAAAGTGCTAAGAAAAGATGTGCAAGAAATATATATTCCTACGTAATTCTGACATATTTTGAGCAAAAAACAATGGAATAGTGAAAACAAAAAAAAACTTTACTGAAAATAAACTTACTTGTGGCCATCTAACCTTAATGTCATCATTATATGACCATCCAATACATGAAAAGAAAAGTAAAATTAAAATAATTAAGATAATATACAAATTACAATAACTTTACACGCTTTAACACTTACATAAAAATAATTTATTCCTTAGTCAGACTAAAATCAAAAAGCAGAAAAACGGTGAGATCTAATCAAGAAATCGAAAACATCTAACTTTATAGTTTACGCTAACCCGAGTAGGAAAGTGAAAGCCTTTCGCTATACGAATGTAAATGGGTATTCTTAACACGTACAAAAAAATTTCCTCAAGCATCATACGTTTCTTTTCAATATCAATCATATTTAAAGGAAGCCTTTCATATTTAAAGGAAACTTGGCTTTCATTACTTCAGGTTGAGGTATGTAATAATTGTCACTTCTTCTTCAATTGTGCATAAATTTGCAAATCACAGATGGACATTTGTGATTTGCAAATTTATGACACATGGCTTTATCTAAATATTTAAATTTTTATGCTCTTTTTATGACTGATTATTTCAGTTATCGTTGTATATAGTTTTAAGTTGCTCTAAAAATTGTTTTTAGCTTACTTCAGAGCAGTATTTTTCTTACGCGAAATTTTTGTGAATTTTAAAATTAACTAGATCAGCATTTCGCAAACTTATGACTTCTGTGTACCCTTTCTGAATTTTTCGTAACGCTGTGTACCACTAATAAAAAAATATTATGTATTTTTTACTATAAAAAAATTTCACAAAAGTTAAAAATCACAACTGACTGTTGACACCACTAATTATTAACTTTTAACTCTGCAAAAAATAGCCAATAGAAAAATACGTAATTGTAATTTTCATGACTAGCTTTGATTTTAAATGAAATTTTTTGAAATTTTCGTTTGTTGCAAGATGTTTCGCATAGGAACCCGTACCCCCACTGAACTGTTACCGTACCCCTGGGGGTATTATTGTACTTAATTTACTATGTACTTAATGTACTAATGTACTACGTACTAATGTACTAATGTACTATGTACTTAATGTACATTAGGAAAAAAATATGGTCAAAATTACCAGAATATACCGTGTTTTGAAACAATATACCTTGAAAATTTACCGAACAATTTACCATCTTTCTGGCTCTATGGGAAAACCAAAACACTCTATGGGTTTTAACAAGACATTTGATAAGTATTTATTTAATGAAAAAATTCATAAGTCTTATTGATTGGATTTATGTAGGTTTAATCTTTTTGAGAATGTTCTTTTTAATGGTTTAGATTTTTATAAACAAATTATTCGAATTCCACAAGGTAATTCCTTTTCTGGTGCTTTTGCTAATATATTTTTGAATTTTTTTGAAGCTAAATTTCTTGAGTATAATGAATTTAATGCTTTTAGATATATTGAGGATTTGATTTTGTTTAATTGTGATAATTTTAATTTTATTTGTAGTATCTATTCTAAAAATTTTGTTTTGAAGAAAACTAATGAGAATTGCTTAAATGTTGAATATTTAGATTTTAAAATTGATATTGCTGATAAAATAATTAAAATTGGTGTTTTTGACAAACGAAAAGCTTTTAAATTTTAAGTTATTTTTTTCTGAAACTTTAATACTAATCTGTGTAATAAAATTTTTAAAAATTTAGTATTTTCACAATTGGTTAGGATTAAAAATATTTGCAATAACGTTGAAAGTTTTCAGGAGGCTGTGAATAATTTTTTGAGTAATTTGAGTAATAATGATTTTCCTTTTAACTTTTGTAATGTTAATTTTTTGATTGAGAAAATTATTGAAGAATACTAGATTTTTATTTCTTTTAACAGGGCGCAATTCAAGTCTTATCTGAGCAGCCCCAGTTAAGCATTATATTAATTTATTACGTAATCTTTTCTTTTACTTCTCTTCTTTTTTTTCATTATGTGCATTTTAATAGAGGGCGTTGTTTTCTTTTGTTTCAAGTGTTTCTTTTGCATTTAGTTTGTTTGTGAAATCGCTGTTTGACAGGTTTAATATGAGTTTTTATTTTCTCAAGATTTTGTTTGAATTTCTTTCTTGAATTGGTTTTATGTATTTCATGTATTTGTTCCTGGACTTACGTAAAACCTTCGGGGTACTGAGAGAGTTAATTTTGGCATTTAATTAGGCCTCTCTCTCATTAGAAAAGGTTTTGTTTTATGGCTTTCGAGGCCGGTACCCCCTGAAGACGTCGGCTTCAGTGGTCATATTTTCATTTTTATTTTCTTCGTTTTCTTTATTGCTATATTTATTCCTCCTTTTGAAAATTCTGCTGCTTTTAAGCGCGTTTCTTTCAAAGATAGTTTTGTCAATTTAGAATGAAATATTTTGTATTCTTTTACTATTAATCGGTTAAACTTACTTTTCAGTTTTGTATTCATTTCTAAGTGCAAGGTAAAAAGAACTATATTTTTGAAAACCAGAGTTTCCGGTAAACCGTTACCATGAGAATAGAAAATTACCAAACAAATAGTTTAACTACCGAATATGTTGGTTTTTAACACCTAAGTTATGGTTTCTCTTTTCAGAAATGTCATCACCATAGAGTAAGGTAATTTTATAAGAATTCGTCTCTCCGAGTAGAATTTGCATTTAAAAAGCTTACGCATATATTCTGTTATGAATGAGAAATTAAAAATGATTAGAAAAAAAGAAATACAAATAGAAATCAAGTAATATTTCTAATTCCTAAATATTAATTTCTTCCTTAGGTTTCATCGATATCCTTCTTCACTGATAAGCATTTCTTTTTTTTTCCTTAAAACTGCATTATTTCTGCTTTTAATAATTTTTTTGTTAGTTTAACGCCTTTCAGAATACCAAATAATAAAATATAAAGCTTGCTTTGTTTACTTTCCATACGAAAAATGTTATAGATTTTTTTTATTAATTTTTGTGTTATTTAAAAATATTGAACGACGAAATAAAACCTCGTCATAAAGACATTCTATCTAAAAAATATATATTTCTTTTTATTTCATTTTTTTGTTTTTATTAACACCTTTAAGAATACCGAATAGCTGTGTTACACTTATCAATTTTATACTTTAATGTGCTGTACTCTTATTTAAATATTCATGTTTGAAGCTCATTGTAAAATATGCAGTTTAAATATTTTGTGCTCCGATATTTTTTAAATGATTTTTTAGGATTATAAACATTTCATTTCGCTTTTCTTTGACTTATATTTTTTGCCCTCCAAATAACTGTAAAGTTTACTGTAAGGAACAATTTTAACATTTACGGTTTTGAAACAGTTTACAACTAGTATGGCTAAAAAACTGTAGAAATGAAATTTAACTGAACTTTGGTGATAGGCTTACAGTTAGCAATGGGCATTAGAATTAGGTTGTAGCTGAGTTGTGCTTAATCGGATGAAAAATGGAATGTGGTTCAATTAGCTTATTTTGTTGTTTCCCCTATCGTAAGAGATGGGAAATACTAGACTCGTATTAAGCAGATTTTTGCTGCTGCCATCTATGAGTGAATGAGATAATTATATTCTAATTATTTAGGGTCACAAATTGGGAAGTGCGGAACACTAGAAACTCTTCATGTGATGAAAGGAATGAAATATTGAGGTGTCAATGCTGGGATACGAATCCCTGTTCAGTCGGTCATGAGATTGACAGATTAGCCCTCTCAGTTATAATATATACCTAGCTGCAAGAAACTAAGTAAATTCATTGGCTGAGCTTAGCTGATGCAATAAAATTCTGGTTATCTAACAGTATTAGGTGAAAGCAGTTAATAAACGGTTTTTCTCACAGTTAACGGTTAGAATACCATCTTATTTATGGTTTTTGACTGTAATGTTTGAATATATTAAAACAAAAACTAAATAAATCATTATTTAACCATTTATTCTGAGAAATTTCTAACAGTGTAAATGTATTTTGGATAGTGTTTTACAGCTCCATTTAAACTTTTGCACTCTGATAAATTAATAATAACCTTTTTTCCCTGTATTTTAATCACAATACCCTTTTATATTACTTATATACTTAACTTACTTTACGTAATACAAGCATACCCCGATAATTTAAATACACTTACACTACCCTCTCCCCAGAAAAAAAACGATGAAAATGTTTGTTCAAATTAAAAAAAGAAACAAATAAATGAAGCTTAATACGTATTGAATTTATTTTATCAATAAACAACATCGATAATTCATCAATTATGATTTTAATGTATATTCCTAAATATGCAAAACAAAACAAACTACTTAGCATTAACATCACATATTCCAAAACATTTCAACAAAAAAATTTTAAATTGCATATCATTACAACGGTAAGTGCTATTTAGATTGAATAATTTGATAAGAAATCCTATAATTTAAAAACTATTATGCCCTCACTCTTATGTTGTTAAGCTTGTTACTAGTTTATCACACTTTGTAATCTTATAGTTCAATGGATATTCTTTGATGATTTGTTTTGCTTCAAATTAATCATCAATTTGTCAAAAATCTCGATAAAAATGAATTCTTCAAATACTCCCAACAATATCGGACTACATCTAATAGAGGTAATTATTGTCTATTAGTATACGAATGGGCAACCAAGCGTTGTAAATCTCCCAAATTATAACAATATTTCTATATGGTTTAGAAAACGTGCCTGTGATGTTATCATGGAATAATATAATTATGGTAAAATTTAAATGAATCGATGGCATTTTTGTAATATTTAAAAAATAGGCTAGATATATAGATAAAAGGTTTAATATTGATTGTGAAGATGTGGACAATTCTACGTTTTAAGGGGGTAAATTAACATTTATATGATATATTCTTGCATATTATAAACATTTCTAACGTTACATATCGTTACATTTCTGACATATTAATATGTATTCTAAACACAAAGTAGTAAATTTTGTCTTGATTTTGAAATATTGATTTATATCTTTTGAATATTATGTGCATAAATTATATTGCACGCATTCAATATACAGATGCTATATTTGATATGTAAGGGAAACAAGTCAAAATTAAATTTGATTTAATTTCAACCCTTTGATTACGGTGCACCATTCGTACCATTGCATGTGGTCCATATGTTGTACCAGCCGTAAACAAAAGGACAAAATTAAATATCAA